GAACAGACAGGCTATGTTACTTCCGGTTGTACTCTTTCAATAAACGTAATTGATCAGAAAGAATGGGGGAGATAAAATTCCAGTTTGCTTGGAAGCTCATCCGAGAGAACATGCAGTAAATGAAATTGTAGTGCCTGGAAGTACTTTCATGATGAAAGAAACAGAACTTTCTTTGCGCAAGAGGGTCACAAACTCTTCGATCTGTTAGGATTTCTGGAAAGGTCACTGTTCTGGCTGGAAATTCCAACTTTTGGGTTGTTGGCTGTGAAGATGGATGCCTGCAGGTTTGTCTAATATATTTCGGCAGTTTCTAGTTATAGTGCTTATGAATAAATTTTCTAAAAGCATGCTGTTTCTTTCGTTCCAACCAATATAAATCTTTATCTTGTTCGAACTCTCGAGTTCATAGTTTCCATAACTAAACATTCATTTTTATTAAACGATCTCAAAATCATCCTTTGAATTTCGTGCTATTGCTCCTGCTGTCAAGAAGTGCAATCTGAGGCTTTTTACCGTTCTCACTTGTAAAATATATGCCCAGATATAGTTAGATATAATTTTTTTTCCCAATTTCTTTGCCTTTTATCATTCACTGCTCACTGTCTTTAATGTTAGTAATTCTGGTATTCTATTTGCGCGTTGCTGTTAGTTTGACCACATTTTTTTATTACATTTTGTTTATAAGAATGAGATCAATTGGAAATAAAATCTGAACTGATATTTCATTCTGGCCTTAGGGGAAATTTGTTGCAGCCACTGCGAATGGAGCATCTATAGCGGAAACCCTTGTGCAAGAGATGGGTTTCCAGTTTATGCCTACCCCCGTGGTGGCGTATCATGGACAAACAGGATGTATTCACTCCAGACCAGCAGCTAACAAAATGTAAACGAAGCCAGACCAAATGTTGCAGCTCATGTGCCAACTGAGGAAGTCAACTTAATTGAAATGGGGGAAGAATTGGTACACGTAGATGAGGCGACTTCTTTAAATGTCATATCGGGAAGGCCAAGAACAAGATGAAGTTCGAAGAAGCCAAAAGCAAAATTCACATGGTGTACACGCGGAAGCACACATCAGCTTAATTTGCATAATATGAAGCAAGATGAAGTTCGAAGAAATTTTGTTTTTGTTGGCAGTCTGTAGTGTAACAATCGATAGAAGTGTTTTAGAAGTCGTTTAAGGCATGTCTCAGTTGTTAAGGGCTAATTGCTGTTGAACTTTTCATATCTGGATTGTGATCAACCTTTGACTGTATCTGTTGAGCTTGCTGTTAATAACAAACCTCATGACAAAGTCATGCTGTTTCTAGTTTCTTCAAATTGCTGTTGGTATTTAGTTATAGTTTTCATTTGATTGCATCAAGTTCAGCGACTAAAGCTGTATATTGAACTCATTTTGGTAAATCCAAATTTATAACACGAGCAACACTAGATCTTAATGCTTGTTCTCTCTCCATCCATTAAAAAGAAGGTAACAGAAGTTCGGGGCATATTTGGACAAAAAGAGGACGATAAAAATCTGTGCCCCACATAATTTCCAGCAACATTACCAAAAATCAAAAACCCCAAACCGATATCACATAATTTATCGTGGCTGTGCATCTTTCAATTTTGGCAGATTTTTCACATACGCACACAAAATCCAACTTCATCAACAATAGTTGAATAATCACTATGTCCCTTAAAAAAAATCCTCTCTGATTTTCTTCATCCCCTCGGAACCCAAGACCAACTCTAACAAAGAAACCACCATTAACCTTGTCCCAGAGTCCCCAGCAGCAACTATCCATGACTCATTTAGCAACACCGAGACATCTGGTTTCTTCAACTTTCGAAACCGACCCATTTGGGATACCACGTGAGCTACAAGAATGGATTTGAGGACCACAGCGACTTCAAGTGAGAGAATTGATTTGAGGGAAATTGATTTCCAGAGCTTAGGGTTTGGTGATTTCATAGACAAACTCCTGTTTGGTTTTACATGTCAAAGATGTGTTCTAGACTATTTTTTGATGTGGCGATGACGCGGAACTGATTTGGCAATAATGGGACTAAATTTACCACATGGAATGAGTTAACCGGACACGTCATCATTTCATCCTCAACGTCAGCAACAATTCAAACGGCATCCAGTCGGGTGAGTGATGGACACTAACGGAGGAAAATTTAGTGGCTAATGGGACAACTCACAAAATTCAGTGAGTAAACCGTGACATGGTACAAAGTTCAATGACCAATGAAACATTTAACTCATAAATTTTTAGTAGGTTTTGATAAAAGTTTTGAAATGTGTCTTTATAATTAATTATGGTTTATTAGCTCAAAACATTGCTATGTGTTGAGTTTATTATGCAAAACGTCCAAACGTTACATTTTTTGCATGTTCACTCTTATTTCTACATTTGATTACAAAAATCATCCTTTTCATCTATCTTCATCCAATTAAAAAAAAAAAAATTGCAAAATGACAAATATACCCTCATATTTAAATAAAAAGAAAAGAGAAGAAAAGAAAAGAAAAAAAAACTAATTTTAACCATACTCCATTTTTTTTAAATGCAAACGAGTTATAAATAAATTATTAAAAAAATTAAAAATTAAAAATAAATTCTCTTTTCTTTCTCTTTTTTTCCTTCTCCCTCCTCCTCCACTAGCACCAGCACCACCATCCCCATCCCCACTTAACCAATCCACCTCACTCGTGAAAACCCCCTTAATTGGACCTTCTCCAAAAAATCCCATAAATATTTTGAGAGCTAACCTTGGACCGCAGAATGGTAAATGCCGAGGCCAAGCCAGTGAGCATGCTCATTCATGGTAGATCAAACATGTTAAGGTACAATGGTACTGCACCTGTCTTCCTCTTTCGCCCCATCATTCTGCACAACACCTTGATAATTTCTTATTTTTATTTTTTAACACAGAGAAATTTTCTCTCTATTAAATATGCTTAATAGATTTAAAGTAAGGATTGAAAATGACGAACAATCAGAGGAGAAATCCCATCTCACTTTTCCTGGAAATCCGATTCCCACTTTAATTTTTATAATGATGAATTATTTTATAGTACCAACATTCTTCTCCACCTCACTTGGTGACACGTTTACCCGCATACGCATGAATTGTGTCAGATCATGCAAAAATTTCAAGCCCAAATCCGAATATAGCAATTGAAATACAGTTAATAAAATATAATTATAGAAATTATCGATGATAGAAAAAATCAAAATAATTTCCTAGGAAAGTTTGAGGAAAATGAAAAATTATGTGCAGAAGCTAACATTTCTTGAGTGAGGTAGGTTCGTTGAGTGGTGGTGGAGGAGGAGGAGGAGTAGGAGGAAAATGAGGAAGAAAAAGAAGAAAAAGAAAAGAGAATTTTTTTAATTTTTTAATAATTTATTTTGGACTCATTCGTATTTTTTTTTTTAAATTTTTTTAGTATGGTTGCAATTAATATTTTCTTTTTCTTTTCTTGTCCTTTTGTTTTATTTAAATATGAAGGTATATTTATCATTTCATAGCTTTTTACTTAAAAATTGGATGAAAATAGAAGAAAATGATGATTTTTGTAATGAAATTTCAAAATATGGGCGAAAATGCAAAAAAATAAAAAATAAAAAAAATTGTAATGTTGTAAAGTTTTGCACAATGAACTATGTATGTAAGGATGTTTTGTACTAATAACCCAATTAATTATTAATGACTTGGGACTAGCATTAGATAGGGTCTAATCTATAATTCTCATTGGAACCCTATATATGGGTGCATTATTATAATGAAATTGATAGCTTACCATCTATTATCTCCTTTCCCCTTCTTTATTTCCTTTTATTTTTGAGTATGTGTGTCTCTGATTCCTGATAAAATGATAATACAAGAAAAGTATATAAAACGAAATAACAACTCCAATAGATACAGTACATTGATTCATTGGAATGCTAGATTAGAACCTGTCAATGAATTGATAACATTATTCGGTGGAACCCTATGTTTAGCTGCCTATAGTCTACACAAAACCTCCAAGTGCCATCCTTCTTCTTGACCTGTATGACAGTGGATGCATAAGGGCTAGTACTTGGTTGAATTAGTCCACTCTTTTTCATCTCTCTAACCAACCTTTCAATCTCTGCTTTTTGTATGTAGGAGCACCTATATGGCCTCAGTTTGAAGGGTTGTGCTCCCTCTTTAGTTGGTATGTGGTGATCATTGAACCTGGATGGAGGTAAGCCTTTTGGCTAAGAGAAAACCATTGGGAATTCATCCACCACTGCCTGAATTTCAGTTGGTACTACTTCTGGCTCCTTGTCAACACTAATGTTAATTTGTGCTATCACTCCATAAGTTTGACTCATGAACCAGTTTCCTTTCTCCTCTTCCGTCATCATATGACATTCCTCTTTAATAGCCTCATTACGCAATTCCAGTTTGCTACCACCATGAGTGAATGTTATACTTTCTTTGTAGAAATCAAAGAGTACAAGGTTGAACTAACTTAACCAATCAACTCCAAGAACCATATCAATACCTCCCAATTTGAGCACCTTCAACTGATATTGAAATTCTAAATCCTACATTTTCTAGGTCAATGGATTGCAGATGGCATTATTCACTAATTTTTCCCCACCTGCTACTGTCACAGTCACTGGGCTAACTAACTGCATTCTACAATTGAGGCTCCTAGCTAAGTGCTTATCAATGAAATAGTGAGTACTCCCACTATCAATGAGGATGGAGACCCTCCTATTCTTGATGCTCCCTGGAAGTCTAATGGCTCTAGTTCTATGGTTTCCCATTAAGGCATGGATTGAAATCTCCATCACTTCCTTTAACTCTTCCTCTACTTCTTGTTATCCCTCTCCTCTAGGTAATTCTTCCTATTTCCTTTGTTCCTCCTCATCTACAAGTATGAAGTTCAACAACCTATTCTTGCATAAGTGGTCACATGTATACTTCTCATCACACTTGTAGCACAACCCTAGTTCTCTCTTGGTTTGAAAATCAAATGGTGTAATAGCTTTGAACTTCAGGGGGTTAGTCGGGTTTCTTATGGGTAGGTTCAATATGGGGTGTATCTTTATGGGTGGTTTCAGCTGGTTTGATATAGGAAAGGTCCATTTGGTTTGTGTATAAGGTTTATAGGTTTTGGCACCTTTATTTATGGTTGTAATTGTATTATCCTGCAAGAGAGCCACTTCAAAAGCCTTGTCTAGGGTAGTAGGTTTAATGAATTTCACCATAGATTTGATCTCCTCTTTCAGGCCACTAGTGAGGATAGATATGTAATAGGATTCAGGTAGATGTGGCAATGATAGCATCACCTGCGATTTCAGTTCTTCAAATTGTTCTTGATATTCAACAATATGTCATTTCAGCCTTAGTTTGCTAAACACGTCAATTACTTCTTCAGCTATGTTCTCTGTAAATCGCTTGGAGATTTCAACGAAAAATATTCCCCACTCCACATCTAGATAGCTGGCCTTTTAATCTGTTCTTCTTGGCTCTTGCTTTGGGTTTCCATTCCTTTTCCAGTTCACGTACTGCTCTGATACCAAATGTGATGGCTGGCCCTCAACACCTCAACAAAGCTACACAACCAAAAATAATAAACACAAACAACACAAATGAACTCAACACCCAGGTGAAAATAGCAGTAAAACAAAAGTATAAAGCTAGCTTTGATTAAAATGAAAGAAAAAGAGAAAGAGACAGAGATGGAAAATAAGAGAGAAGAGAGGAGATTTGGGGAGATAGCTTCCGATTACAAATCAATCAATGCCCCTTTCCTTCCATTACAGTTGTTATGCTAAATTAGATGAAGAAAGCGTGAGTGAAAGGATAAAACGTGTTTAGTCATTACAATTTTGAAAATAAAACAAAAAGACACCGTTTCTTCAAATTTGAATCTTCAACTATGGCGGTTGGTGCTCTTCTCCCTTCTGTAACTTGGGTGTGCTTCTCTTCTTCTTTTGCCACTTCCAAAGGTTTTTTTTCTTCTCCCTCATAACAAAATCCCATCTCACTCTTCCTGGAATTTCGATTCCTACTTTAATTTTTATAATGATGAATTATTTTATAGTACCAACATTCTACTCCACCTCACTTGGTGACACTTTTAAACGCACACGCATGAATTGTGCCAGACCATGCAAAAATTTCAAGCCCAAATCCGAATATAGCAATTAAAATACAGTTAATAAAATATAATTATAGAAATTATTGATAGAAAAAATCAGAATAATTTCCTAGGAAATTTGAGGAAAATGAAAAATTATGTACAGAAGCTAGCATTTCTTGAGTGAGGTAGGTTGGTTGAG